GCGCCGCCGTCGCCATCGTCGCCGTCGGCCTCGCGCCCCGTGCCGCCGCCTCGAGCCCCGTGCCGCTGCCTCGCGCCTCGCGCCGCCGCTGCCACGCTGTCGCCATCGCCGCGGGTCGCCGTCGTCTCGCGCCAATGTCGCCCGTCGCCGCCGCATCGCCGTCCCATCGCGCCGCGCACCGTCTCGTCGCCGCTCGTCCGTCGCCATCGCACCTTGCGCCCCGCGCCGCTGCCGCCCGCCCATCCCATCGCCGCGCGCCCGTCGTGTCGCCGCTGCCGCCCCGTCCCGTCGCCTCGCGCCCCGCGACCCGCGCGCCGCTCGCCCATCGCGTCGCCACCTCGCGTCCCGCGCCGCTGCCGCGCCGCGTCATCGTCGCGTCGCCATCGCCGTCACACCAAGCCGCCCCGAGCCCCGCCGCTCCTCCCCTCTCTACAAATACCCCCCCTCTCTCCATTCTCCCCCACCCCATCTCACCCTTCCTCTCCCCTCTCCCCTCTCCACTGCGCCGCCGTTCTCGTGCTGCCGCGCCGCCGTTCCCGTGCTGCCGCGTTGCCGTTCCCGTGCCGCCGCGCCGCCGTTCCTGCGCCGCCGTTCCCGTGCCGCCGTGCCGCCGCTCCTGCGCCGCCGTGCGCCACCGTCGCCGCCGCCGTCGTCGCCGCTGCCGCCGCCGGTGAGCCGCCCTCCTTCTCCCTCGCGTCCATCGCCGCCGCCGCTCGGGTGGGAGAGAGCCGAGAGAGGGAGATAGAGCCGGGAGAGAGGAGAGAAAGAAAGGAAGAGGAAAAGAGAGGCCGACAGAGAGAGAAAGAGAGAAGAAAGGAAAAAGGGAGAGAAAGAAAAAGAAAGGAAAAGGGAAAAGAGAAAAGAAAAGAAAAGAAAGAGAGGGAGAGAAAAGAGAGAAAAAGAAGGAAAGGAGAAAATAGAAGGGAAATTGGGGGAGAAATTAGGAGGATTTAGGAAATAAAAATGGTCGGGGTTAATAATAGATTATTTTTGGAAATTCCTCGAGCGTAATGGTATTTCGATCGAAATTCCGAGTTAATTATAAATATATGTTTCTTGATCAGATTAGATTAAAATTGGTAGTAATTTAGATATAATTAATAACCAAACAATTAGATGAATTCTTATAGATTATTATAGATTATTTTTGGTAATCTCTGTAAGTCATCGGTTCATGGTAGAAATTCGGATTCAATTACTAGGAATCTTAGCCGTGTATTATATTTAATCGTTTAGTCATAGACTAAATTAAATTGTATAATATTTCTAAGATTTCGTCCGATATTTAGCTCGTAATAGAAATTTCTAACCTGTTATATGGATATAATGCTCGGGATGAGTAAATTAAAAACTTATGACAACAAAATATTTATACCCGCAAAATAGTTTAAATCGAAATTGGGTTTGCCGTAGTTCGTAGATAGTAAAGTTAATAAAAAGGAATCGACTTTCGCATTCGACTTTTACTCGGATTTAAGTGAAACTTGAACCTAAATTCATCTAAATTCATAAGCTTTCCAATGATATATAATTCACTATTTAACAAAATATATTTATAATTATAAATTAATTAATATCAAATGATTAGATAATAGTTAACCTAAATAGTGTGCCAATGAATAAAAATGGATATTGTACAGTAGCATAATTATCTTTAACATGTATTGTATAGCTTACAGTAAAAAGCAACTACTCAAATATATGATCCAATAATAAGATATTGTTGCTTACACATATACTATACATCCCATTATAGTGGTACGGTATAGTATTAATTTGCGTGTTGCATAAATTAAGTTAAGAGGGAGAGTATGACAAACATGTATATTAGATAAATACTAGTTATAAATCTTGACCTCATATAATTATAATTATAGTTCAACTGTAAATTAGGATTATTCATTATAAAATTATGTGATGGGATAATCTGTACCCATAATATGATTAACCTGAACAACTCTAACATACAAAGCATGGATAATTATTAACCTTTTATAATTTATTGTGACAAGTAAAATATGTTCATAATTAAAGTAAAGCTTCCATCAATAAAATAATAATACAAATGATTCACTATAACTATTTGATTGATCCTAAATCCATCTAACAACAGAACCTCTAGTAAATAACCGTCCTATGTAGATAGATGCATGCTTAGCCATAATCCTTCCATAGCCACTTGATAGACTACACCACTGATTAGCCAAATATATATGTATCCCATAAATGCTATGTAGGTTAACTCCTAAATAGGCCACGATGACAATAGAAAGATTAAGAAACTTTAGCCTTAGCATGATTGGGATCCATTAGCAAACACGAATAGTACATTTTGTTGCGCATATTTGATTGTTGTTTGAATATTGGTTTTTCTCGCGTATTATAGACCCTGTGTATCGGTTAGTCGTGAGGCAACGTCTGCAACTTCCAGGAGGTGAAGGTTGATCAAGATTATATCAATAATAAGGATTATCCTGAGCAAGGCAAGTCATCACTATTCCTTGAACATGTTGATCCCAATTGCGAAATTGTTTTGTTTACAAATAAAATTGCATGCAATGATGAACATCCCACTTGTGATTATGCCATGCCTTGATTATTGTTTACCCTTAAATCTTTGTAACCATGTTTACGTATGAGTCCCTAGTCAACTATGACAATTGCTTAGAAATGCTATTCTAGAATTATGCATACTCATATTTATCAAATGCTATATGCTTGGGCAATTACCTTTGGGAAGGTAATTGAGATGCGGCATGTGGAGACATGAGCGCCACATTGCCATGATGTTGATGACATGATTTGTGAAAGGAAAAATAAAATTAAACAACTGTTTTCGACTGGGGCGGACGGAGGATTTGGGTGGTATCTGGAAAAGGCTAGTACCGTCCCCGGTCAATTAAGGACCGAGCCATGAAGTTAAGCATGAAACGACCCCCGTACAACCGTACTTCTCGAATGGGTATAGACCTAGCGGATTAGATAGCCGAGCAGAGGCAGTATCCCTGCATAGATGGTTCACCCCTGAGTGAGGCAGGTGCGCTACGGTGGGACAGCCGTTGAGGTAGGGCCGAGAGGCGTGCCCTACATCGGTGTCGCCATTGGTAGGACTGCCATGAGTGTGTGAGAGAGAGAACTTAACTTGAACCATAATTTAATATGCGTGTGAGACTTCTCTTTCCCGGGAGCGCCAGAACTCCTCTCACTGCTAGAAACATGGACGCCTAGAGTGCATGAGGATTTAAGTTCATGGAGCGGGTACTGCCAATGCGAGGTTATCGAAAAGCTTTGCCGTGACGCGTCTCATGTGTTGGGACGAGGCTCATGTGTTGGGCAGTCGCGGAGTGCGGGTAAAGTGTACATCCACTGCAGTGTGAGTAAACCAAATCTATTCGAATAGCCATGCTCGCGGTTATTGAGCACCGGGACATGTATTACACTTGGCTAGACTCTAAATTCTTTAACTTGTGTGGGATGGGATATTGCATGATGATTTTTATGCTGATGGAGCCACTTCCTGAGAGGCGGGAATGTGGGCGTCCTCAGAAAACCATGACGATTCAATGGCGGGAAGCTATCCTTGGGATCACAATGGATGGTGGACAGAACCGTCGTTGTTTAAAGTGAACACTGGTACTAAAATTTGATCAGTCGATGCTAGGTTTTAGGCTTGTGAAAAGAATTGTAAAATTAGCTTTATGCAAAAGAACCTGAAGCCATTCATTGAAATACCCTCTATCATATGCATTGTTGTTGTGGTGGCTTGCTGAGTACGGTTGGTACTCACCCTTGCTATTTATATATCTTTTAGGAGAGTGTTGAAGAGAAGCCCTTGTTGGTACACTTGCGTATCCCACAAGATGATCGGAGTGCGGTCTTGTTCTAGGTCTCGTTCCCCAGTCGACTGCCTGTGGCGTGTTAACCGGGCCCTTATATTATTTTGTCTTCCGCTGTTGTTCTCTGATAGTTGTTGGCCTACCTGGCCCTAATGTAAGTATTTAACTCTTGTAGTCTAAATTCATTCGTGATATGTTGTGATCCAACTATGTATGCGTGTACCAACTACTGATCCAGGGATTGGTACGGATAAACACAGAAGATTTCCGATTTCCAAAATCAGGGGTCTACACCGGCCGAGGGGAGGAGAGGGGAGGGGAGGAGATGTGAGAGGGAGGGGTGCGTTTTGAGACTTAGAAAAAATCTAAGTCTATCCAAAGTCTATTTATAGTCAAGTCTATTTTCGCAGGCGGACCTCTTAAGTGGCGCAGGTCCGCCTGCGATTTTCGCAGGCGGACTAGCACATTCACCCCGATTTATATTTTTGTAGGCGGTCATTTGGCTCTAAGGGTTATATCCGCCTGCGAAAATGAGACCCCTACGTCGGGAAAAATGATTTTTCTAGTAGTGTAATTTAACCACACACAGAACCAACCCGAGCTGCTTCACGATGCATGCATCACTATCTCCACCACTGCTTCTTCTTGGCAATCAAACTCTTTTCCGTATAGCTTTGCTGCCTTCCATGGACCCCAATCATAAACCAATTACGTCACCACGTGTGACGAGTGATCATCAATCACTTCTCATCTTAATTATATTAGCAATGTAGTGTCAAATCGTCTCAGCTAGTCAGTTTTGCTTCTACTACAGCATCATTTTGCTAGTGACAAACAGCCAAATAATCAGAGATCGATCGATCAGTCATTTGACTCATAGTACTTAACTAGTAGGAGTAGTACAATGTATACCTTAATCACGTCTGTTTTATCATCATTATCTCCATTGCTGATTGGCTAAATGGTCATCTGTCACTTCCATGCACAGCAACCTCTCTCCACCCATTGCCTATATAAACCACACACCAAGATCGATCATCTCCGAAATTAATCCGCATTGATTGCACCATGCTTCTACGCTGCTAGCTAGCTAGCTTGATCGGTCGATCGGTCATGGAGCAGCAGCCGCAGCAGCAGCAAGCGGCGGCGCCGGCCATGGCGGCGGGCGGCGGCGGCGGGCCGCAGTACAGGGGGGTGAGGCGGCGGAAGTGGGGGAAGTGGGTGTCGGAGATCAGGCAGCCCGGGACCAAGGTCCGCATCTGGCTGGGGAGCTTCGACTCGGCGGAGATGGCGGCGGTGGCGCACGACGTCGCGGCGCTGCGGCTGCGCGGGAGGGACGGCGCGCAGCTCAACTTCCCGGGCTCCGTCGGCTGGCTCCCCCAGCCGGCCACCACCGACCCCGTCGACATCCGCGCCGCCGCCGCCGAGGCGGCCGAGCGGGTGCGCCGCGAGCCGGCGCTTGTGTCCGCCGCCGCCTCCGCGGCGCCGCGGCGGCTGGAGCTGGGCGGCGGCGACGGCGAGTTCGACGAGATGGAGTCGCCGAGGCTGTGGGCCGAGATGGCGGAGGCCATGCTGCTGGACCCACCGAAGTGGGGCCCAGATGGCAGCGACGGGGCCGACGGCTCATCCCAGAGCTGGGCCCACGGCTCACTCTGGGACGGATGCTAGTTAATTATGTTAAGCTTAATTAGACGGCTGGTTAATCAACCAGCTCGTAGTACTATTATATGCGTCTAATTCTCGTTTTTAATTATTTTGGTGGTTAATTAGTTTGATGAAAGCATATAAAGCTACTAATATGACATGTTTTTTCCTAAAAATAATATGACATATTTAATCGGGGCATATATATGGTCCCCCTTTTGCTCCTTCAACATGCAAATTAAAACCAATATACTCCCTCCTTCCCTAAATGTTTGACACCGTTGACTTTTTTAAACATGTTTGACCGTTCGTTTTATTAAAAACTTTTGTGATATTTGTAAAACTATATGTATACATAAAAGTATATTTAACAATAAATCAAATGATAGAAAAAGAATTAACAATTACTTAAATTTTTTGAATAAGACGAACGGTCAAACATTTTTAAAAAAGTCAACGGCGTCAAACATTTTGAGATGGAGGTAGTAGATGTTACTATATTGATTAAGTTGATATCGGATGGCCTATGCATACTTGCATAATTCGATTAGTATCAAACTCCGCCATTGATCTTGATTGAGTTCATATATGAAAAAAAAAGCATGAATAATTATCCCCGGAGCGACCGCCGCCCCCACCCGCCATTGTGCTTGGCTCCCTCTCCATCGCCCTCCTCGGTGCCGATGAGTGATGGAGGTGAACTGGTGAGAGGAGGGACGAGAGAGAGAGGAGGGATTGGAGAATGAGATAGAATATAGAGATAGAGAGGGTGAGAAATTATTAGGATCCATCGATTTTTTTAATAAAAAAATTATTGACTGGACTACCACGTAAGACCAAAACCACTACAGATTGAGCTTTGGGGGAGGGGGGTATTTGTCCAGTTCCATAGTTAGGGGTGATGGATATTTGATTTTGTGGTTAGGGGGTAATTCATATTGATATTGTGGTTGTAAAAGTAATTCAGACTTGGTGTACGGACATGCAATTTTGATAAGAACATAAGTTGGTATTGAAAAATGAGGAGAAATGAAAGGGCCTGTTTGGAACATTTGGAAAACCATGAGAAATTTTTAGTTATTTCAACCATGGCCTATGTAAAATAATATTTTTTTAATTGGATCATTAGAAGCTACTTTTGAACTTGTAATCGAAACATGGAGGGAATAAAAGGTTGGGTCATGAGCTACTGTTTATTTTTTATTTTTATCATCCATTGAACTATTTTCTTTTGTGCTGATTAATTTTTAGTCCTCGTTGATCTCAATCCACATATCGGAACAGTGTTTGGTCATATTTGTCCAAATAAGTTCTTCGCAGAAAAAACGGTCCAAATAAGGGAACATTTCGATGGCTTTGGGTACCCTGCCGCTGCGGCCTTCCGCTCTCAGGAGAGAAGACCCAAATAATTTGTGAAAATACGTCATTTTTATAGTTTGCACCATTTTACATTGTTCTTTTTGTTTGCGTATCCTTTGCCCTATTCGGGAACAGAGGTAGTGTTGTTTAACAACGAAATAGGATTGACATTATAAAAGTAGACAACAACATGGCATACGTTAGTAGAAAACAACCAAGTAAAGTACCATGGCACCACCTAAAAAAGGATGAAAATGGATTGGATTTGGACGGGTAAATATAATGTTGGATGGACTTTGCTTGAATTATTACATTTAAAACTGGGAGGTATATGGTATATGTGCGGATTACTTTTTTTAAAAAAAAACACTGTACAAACGCAGGCCCTCACAGCATGCGCGGACTCATTCCTACGAATGCAAAAAAAAAACATACTCTATTTTTATGAGCATCATCGAAATACTGGATCGGCATATTTAAGAAATCACCACATACATCTTACTGTTAATGGATACATCGTCTACCACTAAATGAATAATTAGTCGTAAATAGAAACAACCGTGTTAAGTCAAAGTGTATGACCTAAACCTAATCGGTTCTAAAAACAAAAAACCTAACCGGGGGTTGAGTTAACTTTAAAAACGATACAGAAACATGACAGCAAGGATTATAGTGGTAAATAGTATGCCATATACAATATCAAGCAAAATGTAGGTGTTTTACGATGCTCTTTACAGCTAGGAGAATCAATCAATATCCTTTTTCTTAATTTAATACCTTTTTCTTAATTTAATATTGATCATATCTATTTACGTTGCCACTTAACTACTGATAGTTTCTTCTACTGGTAATAAAACTCATGAAAATCTAATGATAGTAAAATACGACCGATAAAGATCACCTATACTCAGTACCAAAAATAGAAGTTCTCAATACGTATAAATCTGAGCCTATTATAGATGGGCTTGGTCAACACCTAAGGTTTCACACGTAAAACGGAACGATCAATCGACGCATAATTAATGAAGTATTGGTTAAAAAACTTTAAAAATAAATTAATATGATTTTTAAAAGTAACTTTTCTATATATTGTTTTTGAAAAGAAAACGTACCGTTTAATAGTTTGAGAAGCGTACGTGTGAAAAACGAGATATAGAAGTTGGGAAATTGTTCAAAAGAACACAACCATCAACTTCTTCGCTAAAAAGATCAGATAATTTGTAACATTAGCTTTTTAATACCATACTTTGAAACTTGCATCCATTTTCATATTCACTGCATATACAAAGACTCCCTACCTTATCTTTACTTAAGGGGATTCAAAGACAGATTTGGAAAAAATAGATGGTTTTATTTTCTCTCTGCTTACTACTACAAATAAGAAGATATGACTGAAATTATTGGCCCAATGTTCCCAAACGGCAAAAATAGGGAAAACATAGAGATAAGTCCATATTCAATGCCGGATAAGTTTATGGTTTAATTGCCTTCCTATCACAGATTGATTAGATACTATTCAAAATCTTATTTGTATTATTTTTCCAACTCCATTTTCTCGTCGGGCCTTCCTTTTATTTTTAGCCTAACTAAGTGGTTAGGAAGGAATTTGGTTAAGGGAGGAGTTGGGAGATTTCTTCAAACACGCTATGCGCCGCACGTGTGGGATGAATTTAAGAAGGCCGCGCAACATAGGCCTCACGGCCTAAACAGGTGTTGTGTCTTTTCTTTTTCTTTTTTTTTATCTATTTCCAAATGCATTTGTACACGTGTAAAGTTTTTACATCGATGGTCCATGTGAAATGTTTTTATACCAGAAGTATTTATATCAAAAGTTGTTGTGCACACATAGTTCCTTCTGTAATGTTTCTACATCGATATTTTTAGAGTAAATTTCACAAAACTTTAAATGATGTATCACAAAAACTACAAATTTAACGATAAAATTATCACAAAATTACAGATTTAAGGTGTAATATTACAAAAATACAAATTTAATAACAAAGTTATCAAAAACTACATGTTTAACATCAATTTAATCACAAAACTTGGACATTGGCATCTCAAAAACATAAAATTATTTGAACCCTAAAATCTGTAGTTTTGTGATAATTTTATTATTAATTAAAAATATATAGTTTACGATATAGTTTTGTGATAATTTTATTCTTAAATCTATAATTTTATAATATTTTGGCTAAAGTACCTATAGTTTTATGAAATTTACTAAATATTTTATATCAAGGCTCATGAGTGAAACAAGCCATCCTGTAAATTGCTTCCGTCCACCGAATTTCAAATCTAAACTCCAAACCCACAATCGGAACACGCAAACACGACAACCCAACTCGAAAACCAACCTCGCAGGCGCGCTCGCCCGTGCACACATGCCTGACACAAAGCGAAGCAGTCCTTGAGTTATACAGAAAAGAGAGAAAGAAACAACTTCTAAAATCCAAACGAGTTTTTAAATTCGTAAACAGAGAGCCCAAGAAGGCTGGGAAGAAGCCCACGGGCCACGAGGCAGGAATAGGAGGACAGGTGTCAAACGGGAGGCGCCCTTTAATTCGAACGTTACCGTTTCCTTTCGATTCACACCAAATTTATTCCTTTTTTTTATTTTTTATTTCATTTTTATCTCTCTCTCTTCCCCTCGCGGCTCGCGCTCCCATTCACTGCTCTCCCCTCTCCCGGCCGTTGGAGCTCTCTCGATTCGCCAACGCCGCCGCACTAACTCCTCCTCCTCCTCCTCCGCTCCGATCGGGTTCGTCCTCGAGCAGGTTGGTGAGGCCTCCGCGTCGATCGATCGATCCGTGCTTAGTACGCTTCCGCTTCTTCTTGATTTGTCCCTGCTTAGTACTCCTCCGATTCTTGATGGTTTTCGTTTGGTGCGATGCCGGACGAGGGTACAGCGGGTGGGGTTTTTGCGGGGTTAGATTGGTGATTGGTTTCTGCCTGGTGGTGTGGCCGTGCACGCTCGCGCCCGCGCGCTGTGTTCTTGGCTAGCTCTAGCTGTGGTTAGCTTTGCTCCCTGCTGCATTGGGGGAGTTTCTTGGGTTCTTGTTTGTGCAGGGATCGAGCGGGGTGGGGGGGGGGGTTGATGGCTTGGTTTCGCGAATGTTCGTCGCGAGGTGCGCGCGGATACTGTTTTGCTTGCGAGAGTTCATCGTTTTCTTCGTTTGTTTACTTGTGTCTGGTCGTGTTCTTGCTCGGTTTGCTATGTGAGAGGGTTTGATGGGAGCTCGATCTGAACATTCTTTGCTGGTTCTGAATTAGGTTGTTGCTGGTTTCCGAATTAGGTTGCTGTTTCCAGATTTATTGCAAAAGATCTCCATTTGTATTTGGTTTTGGTTTCTACGTGTTTGCGGAATTGCGGAGAAGAAAAACAATGGGCTTCGTTATCTCGAATGGCCTGTGACATCGGTTGTGTTCTTGGATTGGTTTCATGTAGACAGACATAATATACAGTATAATGTTAGATTCCGCTGCTGCATTTTTGTCAAATGTTGCTCTTGTGGATTATAGGTTTCTGTTTGCTTACCCACAACCACGAATCTTGTGAGTTCTGCTCATGTTTCTGGTTTATCTAACTCTGCAGATATATTGGAGAGGCAGCAGCGTTGAGTATAGTTTATCAGTGGATTCTTCTTCTGCTGAGGCTGGCCAGGTGATAAACAAGAAGGGAAGAAATGGCTGCAGAGGTTGGGCAGAGATTCTGCAGTGGGTGGTCATACTCGGATGTGCCTTACAACGACCACCACGCACAGACAGTATGTTCTACTCACCTCCAATTGCTCACTAGAATTACCAAATGAAAAACCAATTTTGCATAGCTCCCGAATAAGTTACTGTCTTACATTTCAGATGAGAGCTTAATGACATGGTTTGATAACTTTTTGTGGTTTCTTGTTTTCACAATGCTCGATAGTGGTTTCTTGTTGTGTGCTGTACTGCTGTTATGGTAAAAAGGTTTACGAAATCCTGATTTTTCGTTACGCGTGATCTTGTTGGTGTTCAGGATGCTTCAGTTCAGCAAATGGTACTTGATCATGGCTCGGTATCATTCGGTAGGTTTGCTGCAGAGTCCTTGTCATGGGAGAAAAGGTCGGTATTCGACCATAACAGACGTCAAGAGGAGCTAAGCAATCTCACAATGCCTGGTTTGGTTGCACAAAAGAAGGCATTCTTTGAAGAATATTACAAGAGGGCCAGGCTTTTGAAGGCTCAGGAGGAGGTCAACCAGACTGAAGCCACATCGGAAGAGGGGACTGATCACTATGATGCTAATGGCCATAACATCCATGAACATAAATTACCTGCAGTTAGTTCTGAAGATCCAGTGGCTAGCGCTCCAAGCTCTAGTTTTGAACCTTCCACTGGAGTGAGCTCATCAGGAGAAAAGAAATGCCAAGACCCTCATGGGCTAGGGTACTTGACATTTAATCCTTTGTTTTCTCAGATAACAGGATCGCAAAATATTCAGCTGGAGGGTCCTGTCTCTGATCAAATGCATCACGCTGAAGGAGATTTTCCATGTGCCACACACACAAATACCAGAGATGTACTCAACCATGAACCTTTGGAGAGAAAGGTTCTTGCACCAAAGCATATTGTGTCAAATGATAATGGAGAAAATGTTGCCGTGTCAAGGATTGCCTTGCCAATAGCAAGTCTGCAACGGGAACATCTGAAAATTGATCTTGAGAGGCAGGAACCAAGGAAGAATGCTCTAATCAGTAGTATGCCAACAAAGAGTTCCAAGGTAATTGAATAATACTTCACAATGATGGAGCTATATGTCCATTATGGGAGAATTACTGACAAGATATATTAGAACAGTACTGCTTTTCTAGTTGCTTCTGTCATAGATGCTTTGAAATCTAAAGAATCAAAATAGAAGTAAACAAACTTCATCACAAGGTTAAAAAAAAACTTCTGTAGATTAGAATTTTTCGTGCATCGAAGATACTGATAGTGTTCATGGATATTTTAGTTTGTCTTCTCTTCTTACTTCAAATACATTGCCTTCCAAACTTAATATGCTTTGTTCCGTACAACCTCAAATCAAATGTGTGAATGAGCAAAACCGCTTCAAGAAGTACAGAAGAAAATTATTATAGCATAGATTTAACCTGTATGTTGATTGATTTAATGATGTTACTTCAAACTTAACTTTGGAATCTGATTTCACCTTTACCTGTTCTTGTTTGCATCTTCTCAGGAACCATCAACTTCTGTTATCCACATCCCAAGGATTGATTCAATAAGAAATTCAGAGAACAGGAACTCTTTAGAGTTGAAGGATCCATTCCACAAAAGAGTCGAGATGAAATTGCGTGCTCTATCTGATAGGATGAATGCTGATAAAGCAACAGCATCTTCTAGATCAGTTTTTCATCAGCATGCTGAAAGAGCTGTGACATCTTCTAGATCTTCTATGACATCATGTAGATCTTCTACATATCAAAATGGTGATAGAGTTGCGACATCTTCCAGATCTGCATTGGGTCAGAATGCTGATAGAGTTCATGCGTCTTCTAAATCAGCACAACAAGCTTCTCGTCGATCTCTTAGAGAACCACATGGTGCAGTTTCCCTTCCTCGTGCAGCTGTCAACAAAGGATCACATGTCTCTCATGTTGCTCTCAGCAATAGTACTACTCAGAAGTTTGTTACTAGTCACCCTAAACACTCGGTGATGCCCAATTCATCTCAAAGGGCAAGTACCTTACATACTACTCAGGTAGGTTTTCCCTCCAAATTAAGTCTTAATTTTTCCTTCGAACACATGTATATTTTTGTTTTTTTTACCAGATTTAGGATTTTGAATTGTCTGTCCAAACTGTTACGGTGCTCTATTAACAAATACAACTTCGATCATTTGCTTCTATGTATTGATGATAACATTCACCTTTTCAAAGTATCAGGAAGCTAACAAATTTATAAGCTCAATATTTACAGTGCAAATTAAACATTTGTAATAGATTAACTATATTTGGCAGGTCTCGTTGAAAAGATCAGCAGGTGTTAGCTCTGTAAACAACAGACCGCAGAATAAAAGGTATTTAATTCTTTTTTGTGTTCAACATATACAGTGGAAGTCCTGGAAGAATGTTGTTGAAACTCCTGTACTTGTTTGATCTGATGGTCAGGAAACAGCTTAGCACACCGTCAACATGGGATGAAAATAAGCTGAACAGAGGATACGCACGCACATCTGCACCCTCAAGTGCAAGGTCTATATCTCTATCTTGTTATAGTGGTCTTGATGTGTTGTAAGTAAAAATATATGATCTAAACTGTATTGTTCTTTTGTGCAGAAGTAGCTCCGTTGGCATTCTTCCGTACAAAACTGCGAAGGCACCAAAGATTTCAAATGGGAATAATGTTGTGGTCAAGGTAGAAATGGTACCCATGATGGTTAATATGATTAGTGGGATGAAAGCACATAGCTTTTACTGTTTAGTGTTTTACCAGTTTCTACTGTTCTCACCACTACCTTATAATGTGGGCAGCAGACTGAAATGATGCAGAAGTCAAGAAATGGAAGCCATCCTGCTGGAGGAAGGAATGTCCAGCCAAAGAATGTTGTAAGCTGCAATGAGCAAAAGAGAAAGGTTCGATATCTTATCATTAGACAATTCCCTCATGCTAACCTCACACTAACTATGTCAGTAGCAGTCAAGAATTAGCATTTTCTATTTCACTAATCTATCAGTGGTGCCTCCAATTTCCATGTGCATGGGTTGATCGCTAGCCCGTTACTTGTTTGTACGCACATTAAAATTATATCTAGTTGAACATGTTCTTTTGACTTTTGTTTGAATGATATTATTTTATGCGGCTGAAAAATAACCAAGTTTGCTGCACTAATCTTGTACAGGTAACCCCATTTCAGGCTAGTAGTCTGTCATCCAGCACAAGGAACAATCAGGCAAGCGGTCCATCGATGAGTAAGAGCAAGCCAAGGTCATGCCCGTTTTACAAATCGCCAAAATATGTCCAAATGCTGCTTAATCACTCAATTAACATATGATTGATCACTCCACAGAAAGCCCCATGAACTTTTTTGACTGCCAATCCTAAACTCATACTCCCTCCATCCCAAAAAGAGACAAACCCTGGTTTTCGTGTCCAACGTTTGACAGTCCGTCTTATTTAAAAAAATTATGAAAAAAATTAAAAAGATAAGTCACGCATAAAGTATTAATCATATTTTATCATCTAACAGCAATAAAAATACTAATTATAAAAAAATTTTATATAAGACGGACAGTTAAACGTTGGCACGGAAACCCAGGGTTTGTCTTTTTTTGGAACGGAGGGAGTACATAAACAGCCTCTGAACATCTCTACCCTTATAACAAATCTCAGTGCCATATATTTGATCATTGATGCTATCCTCTCCAAAATTGTCACGGAATGACGGTTCTTCGTGGTCTGATTCTGCAGACAGGAGAGGCCAAGATGGCGATGACGAAAACGAAGACGATCTTGTCGGAACAATCAGCTCGGTGCAGAAGTGCAGATGCGGATGATTTTCTGGATCAGCTTCGGAGCTGCACTTCTTGGATCAGTTTCACTGTTTCAGACTCTTAGACACACGGCCGTTCTTCTTGGCTAATGGCTGGTGCAGGGCAAACGAAAGTTTGGAGGCAACACGAGCAGGGTTAGGGAATTCTTTTTTACCGGACATAGTTGCTAGTAGTTGCTACTGTATTTTGATTGGTTCTGTGACTTCTGTCAATGTCAAAACAACATCCATAATTCAATTATGATTTATAAGTAAGAAGAAGGGGGCGGCTTATTGCACTAAATATATTGCGATTTGATTTCTCCACTGTTTTGTCGGCAAATTGTTATACTGCCGAAATGTTTGATTTGTTCTTCTGCTGAAAGCGAAACGCCGGTCTGTGTGAGTGCGTGTACTCCATCGATTCTTGTGCCATTGTGTGGAAAAAAGAAGAAAACAGCTACTCCCTCCGTCCCATAATATAATAATTTAGTACTGGATGAGACATTTTATAATACAACGAATCTAAATAGGAGGGTGTCTAGATTTATTGTACTATAAAATGTCTTATATAGTACTAGGTTGCTATATTATAAGACGGAGAAAGTAGGGGTAGTATACTAGCTTTGCCGTTGACGAAAGGGGCCCATGGTTCGCTAATTTTTGAATTTTCAGATGCCGATTTGGTTTGACAGTCATGAAAACTATACGACTTTACCTTGAAATTTTATGGTTGTCATGAAGCATACTTCCTCCGTATTCGTAAATGAAATCGTTTAGGACAATTTTTAAATCAAACCTTAAAAATATAAATCATAAATAACTCTTAAGTTGTAAAAATTATATAAATATATTTGTTTTGAAAAATACTTTTATAAAAATATACATATCTCTTTTCAATAAATAATTTTATAAAAATAAAAATTTAAAGTTGTGTTTTAGAGACCGTGTTGTTGTTCAAAACGATTTTATTTACGAGGGAGGGAGTATAGCGAAAAATTTTAGTAAGAGAGAGAAATAGAGGGAGGGCTCCACGTGTCAGAGGCGGCACCACGTCGGCTTGTATGTCTACCGTTCTGTACGTAGGAGTACTAGATTTTTTTTCCGTTACATAAATCGGGCCTCGCGTATTCGCACTGTCCTTTCCCCTCGGTCTACCGGCCCTCTCTGACAACTGGGCCCCACGCGTGGAGCTAACCCTCTGGGCCCACCCGTCAGTGACACCACGTACACGAGACGTGTCGCGTAGCCCTCCCACGTGTTCGCCTCGCCCTTCCCCCTCGTGACCCTGGGACTACTACACCCTTCCGGTCACTGCGCGGTGGGCCCAGACTCCCCCCCCCCCCCTCTTTCCCTTTTTCTAGACTCCACCGGAGGCGAAGGGCGCCACCACCGCCGCGACGGCCATGGACGACGACGCCGCCTCGGAGATCAGCGACTGGGAGGTGCTCTCCGCCGCCTCCGCCCACGGCGGCGGCGGCGAAGACGACGGGGAGGACTTCGTGGTGCTCGTGCCCGGCGAGGGCGGCGGAGGCGGGGACGTCCTGCACGACCACTTCGCCCTCGTCGCCCCCTCCGACGTCGACGGGTTCCCCGGCGAGGAGGGCTCGTGGTCGGGGCTCCTCTCCGACCCCGGCGACAAAGGGAAGGGGGAAGGGTTTGATTCGGTTCCGGAAGGGAGATTGGATCCTCTTGTTGAGGAGGATTGGAGCGAGGAGCGGTTGCGATTCGGTGGCGGGGTTGAGGAGGCGAGCGGAGAACCCTCGGTTCTTGCCGCTGCCTCGCCATGCGGAGAGGTGAGGCGAGAGGAGGCGGCTCAGCGGGAGATTGAGCAGGGGAAGGAAGCGGATGGGACGGGAGAGGATTTGGATCCTGACGTAATTGTGGTTGCAGAATTATCCCGACTCGAATCACCGGAGAATTCCGATGTGCAACTGGAAGTGGAAGATGGAGGAAGCTCACTTCCTGAAGCTTCTGAAATAGGTGATGCATTGGGGTTTGTCCAAGAGGCGCTGGTGCAATGGAAGAGTGGTGATGTCACATCCGGCTGCGGTGAACCGGAAGGCGAAGCGAAGGATGGTTCTTTGCCTCTGGCACAATCCCCGGTTGCTGGAGAAATCTCACTCGCTGAAGCTGCTGCGGTAGGCGATGCGATGGGGGCTGTCGACAGCGGTAATGCCGCTTCCGGTTGCGGTGAACAGGATGGTGAGGCAAAGGATGGCTCTTCCTTGCCTCTGGCGCGAGCCCCGGTTGCCGATGGAGGAGAGAAGCAGGTGGTTGTGTGGTGGAGGCTGCCGTTCAGGCTGCTGCAATGCTGTGCTTGGAAGGTGAAGCCGATTTGGTCCTTCTCCATTGCCGCCGCATTGCTGGGGCTATTCGTGCTGGGGAGGAGGATGTACAGGATGAGGCGCAAGGCCCGGGGACTTCCCCATATTAAGATTGCATTTGATGATAAGGTGAGCTCTTTGCTAATTGACACTATATTACTATTCTATTGTATGAATACATGTCTCTGCACTCGATTAATGGACTTCATAGTTGCTATTGGTTTAATCATACGGATGAATGTTTGCACTAGATTACTACACTTGCACGCACTAGTTAAGTTTATATGGATCGGAAAGCTTAATGTCGTGATCTCTGTCTCAAGCAATCTCATGCTGTTCATGTGAAATGTTTTCAATCAGCACACAAGTCCAGCTTCATGTATGCCATCAAATCACATAAATCATGATAGTTTAATTTCAAAAGGGACCATGACTTTTTTAAAAAACATATGGCTCCAACATATTATGGAGATTTTTGTCAAATGTGACTTACTACTTGATCCCTTTTTCTTCAGAATCTGATAAATTGTGTTGGTATGATTTCACTGATCACCATTAAGTGATAATGTTGACAAGGTTTATGACCTGATGACTATTTTAGCATAGCTTGTCACCTCATATCCCCTTTATCTGTTTTAAACAACTTCCCTTGTTGTTTTGGGTGTAGAGTGTTGGAGTTGAAAATCGATCTGACTTGAACTTGTACAATTAAGTGGTTTTGGTTCACTCATGTTTGCATGATTTTTCCCCTTCAGTACAAGTTGCCTTGAGATTCCATATGGTACTAAAACTAACACGACAAAGTAGCCACCCTTTGACCATGACTAGCTAAAACTTGTACTGTATTATGCAATTAAATGGGTTTGAATTAGGGGTATATTTACTGTTTAGTCATAGGAGTTCTATGCCAAGCCAGGACAAAGAGTAGAATTACTGTTTGCTGAAAATCAGCATAGGCATATAGAAGAGGCTTGCACAGTTGCACCTGCAAATTAAAAGGAGATACATAGCACCTATCCACCGGCCCACGAAGCACATGCATGCATAAACCCATCCATGTTATGATGGAGATATTGGAAGGTTAATAGCGCTGCTTTTGGTCCCTGTCAAAATGACGCGTCATCCTTTTCAGATGTGAAGAAATGACAAAGGCACAATTTAATATTGGAGAAATACTATATTTCTAAAAGAAAGAAATGGCTCACAACTAAGTGGTGTTTGTTCAGCTGTCTGTTGCATTTTTTTCAACTGCTAATCAATGACAGTTTCAGTGCTCTCTTGCAGTCAATGCCAATGTTTGCACTAATACCACTATTACTTTGTCAGATTATATCTTCATCTTTTTTTTATCTTTTCCTTTCTTTTGAGCCCTGAAGTGTCTAACCATGTCTTATGTTTGTTGGTGGTGAACAATACAGAGAGCCTCTCAGTTTGCAGACCGTACAGCTCGTCTCAACGAAGCCTTCTTTGTGGCAAGACATATACCTATGCTGAGGACTTCTTCTGGTGCTGTGTTCCCGTGGTCAATGGTTCAATAAAAGATGAACCAGCCTACACAAACCTTCATAAAAGGAAGATAATGTGTTACGTAGTTAGCAGCAGATCTGCATGAGGAACACTAGTAAGAGCAAGAGCATCTGAGTTGGTATTTGCCCCGATATTTTTCTCGTCGGGGCACCAATGTATGTCGATGCCTGAGATAGTAGATGTTCCTTTTGATTTCTAAGCTGCCATACCACATCTTGTTTATTTTGTCCCCCCCCCCCCCCTTTCTTTTTTTTTTTACCCATTTGCCTTGTTATTAGGTCAAGTTCTGAAGTGTCAGTGTAGTCCTGGACTTTTGTCAGTTGCTCTGTATGTGTTTATTATAGTGTTACAGTTCTCCCACCATCAATCCAGTGAAAGCTAAATTCTTCAGATCTATATGCACTTTACATCTTTTGTGCAATGGTGTGATGACCATTTGTCACCATGAATGCAAGACAGCTGTGCTTACCTCTGGATTCTATATTTTGCATGATCAGATTTCAGTTTGATGAGCTATAATGTAACATGAGGCCGGCAAGAACAGGGCGTTGTAAAATTGTCAGGAATTCATGTGCATTTCTACTTTGTGACCTTCAGACTGCCTGCAGGTTGACCACAGCACAGCTCTCTACTTGTACATTCCTCTGCAGTCATTCGTGAGGTAACATGGAGATGGAGTTATGCTTCGCATCTTAATACTGGATACAGACATATACAGTACAATAACAGCATCTGCTAGGAGAAGAAAAGGAAATCAGCAAGCCAGGTAGACGTAGTATGACTGCTCATCTGGTTTCCAATATGAAGTTGCAAGCTTGGGCTGCATTTCGTCAGGAATGGCTGCGAGATTACTCGTTAACCGGCTGTTCCACTCTCTTATTCCCAAACGCTCATTCTGCTTGCACGCCCAGTACCTGCATGTGGCTGCACCAGATATTTTTCCTTTAGGCAAAAATATATGCGAAGCACCAAATTTATTTCCTTCCATAAGGAGATTTCAAGTATCATTACGATTGTCACAACTTAGTTTGAACAACTAGCATCACCTGAACAGTACAAATTTAGCATTGTGGGGGATCATAGGCTCATGATAACCCTACTAACTCTATTTCAAAACCATTTTAAATGGTTTAAATATATGACGCTATTAACTTTTAGATATGACGTTTGAATGTTCTTATTATCAAAAAATTGTGCAAGTATCATTTATTTTGTTGTGACTTGTTTATAATCAAAGGTACTTTAAGCGTAACTTGTATTTTTTTGCATAATTGCACCAATTTTGTAAATAAAACAAATAGTCAAACATCATATATTTCAAAACATAGGGAGTCAACAGAATAAGCATACGGTTAACAAGAGATATATTTGTCAAATGGATAATTTGAACTTTATCTGAGTACTTAATTTATTCAAATTAAAGCAAATATAAAAAACATTTACCTTTCCTATCGTATATATGTCATTCCAGTTTGGCAAAGATCATGTCTCTGGTTGGGGCATTCTTTGCTGCATCCGCCGCCCAAGAACAACAAAACCAAAATCTTCCTCCATGTCATCATCATTGGCACTGAATCTCTCAATGTTCAGCAAGGGATTGTTTGGTAGTGCTCTTGCTGAATTTCTGATCGCCGCCTCAGCAGCATTTCCTACTCCAGCCCAAGCAGCAAAACAGTCTATCTTGACAAAAGCTTCCTTGAGGGACAACAGGTGTTGGATACCAAAATCAAAACCACCAGTTGCATAAATGATTTCCAATGCTACAAACTGAAAGCAAAGTCTTTCAAGCCTTGGCATAGCGCCCACTTGAAATTCCAGTCCCTCTGTGAGCAAACAAATAAATTTGAATTCCTTTAAGTGTTCGAAACACTGGTCGCGGATGATGAGTCTTTCTTGTGGAGCTGTTTCTGAGCCTAGCCTGAGAAAGAGAAGGTTAGGTAGCTCACCAAGGATATCCAGATCTCTTTGTGCCGCTCGAAGAACATCGACGTTGATGTAAGATAGGTTGATAAGTGAGCCCAACCAGTTTGGAATCACACTGAGACACTTATTGGCAACAAATTTTTGCAGGAGAGATGGAGGAGGACACCATAAATCCAGTGAGAAATCTTGCAGAGAACTGTTGTAACCTTGAATGTATATGGACCGGAGACTACATGTTCCCAACCTACCAAGAGATGAGACCAGATTGTTGTTGTAGCTTCTGACATCACCAATCATACCAAAGGATCTCCAAGACATCACTAGTACCCTTAGATTGGATAGTCTACTGAGCTCTTGTAGCGAGGTAATTGAACTCCGACAAACATCAAAAGATGACAGTTGTTGCAAAGATTGCATCTCTCCAATTCCATCTGGCAATTTGATGTTAGAATCGAAAAACAGGTGTACCAACCGTCGAAGTCGAACAACAGCTGCTGGTAATTCTGTTAAATGGCTTAACCTTAAGTCTAATGTCTCCAAATATTTAAGTTCTCCAATCTGTTCAGGGAGCTCACTGATAGGAGTTCTTCTAAGTCCCAAGTATTTCAACTGAGATAGCCTCCCAATATGCTTAAGATGATGGTTCTCCAGTTTCCAGCAATCGTCCATCTCCAACACTCGCAAAACTTTGAACTCTGTGAGAGAAGGCATTTTATTACAATGTCCAAAAATACTAAATGAGCGGGCATGTGATAGAGTTGGCAGCATTGGAACCATGCCACATTCTTCATCGATGTACTGAACAGACAACCGACGAATCTTCCCTGGTGTCATGACAGATGCAGCCTCTGATGTGGAAAATATGGTAACAAAGTTTTCTTGATTTGACTTCGATATTATGAGACTACGAATCATGTCATGGACCCGACAAGACATTGCTTCACCATTGTACTCAATATCTACTGGCTGGGCCATGCTTCTGTTGATGAGCTCGTTAAAGTAATAATACCCTGCTTCTTCTAAATTCCGTCCATGTTCAGGAAAAACAAATCCTTCAGCTATCCATTGCTGCACCAGTATATCTTTTGAAATAATGTAGTCTTCTGGAAACAAACATAAGTACAGCATGCAAGTTTTTAGGTGTTGTGGGAGATGGTTGTAGCTGAGTGATAATATCCAGTTCATTCCTTCAAAACCAATGTGCTTGTCTAGTCCAGATTCCAGAGAGATATTTACACTCTCCCACTGTTCCTTTGTCTGTGCTTTAGTAGCCAACAAAGAAGCTATACTGATTATAGCTAATGGCATACCGCCACACTTTTTCAAAATCTTCTCAGCTACCCCCTTTACATGACTTGGCAAACTATCCTCTGAACCACATATCCTTTTAAAAAATAACCTTCGAGAGGAGGTATTATCAAGGGGTTTAAGATGATAGATATCACAATGACGTGGTGCACAACATGCTCTAGCTATGTCAGTAATACGTGTGGTAACTACTATTCTACTACCACGATTGTTCTCAGGTAAAGCACACCTCAATATTTCCCACACAGAAATACTCCATATATCATCAAGAACAACACAATACCTGCCAAGCAAAACATTGTCAAGGGTGAAATAATTGGTAACAGAGTAACAAAGATTAAAAAAAAAATATTGAAGTGGCACATAACCAATAAGGGTGTTAGACAGTAACAACCAAGAACATCACATCCAAACTAGTTGAAAGATCACACTAAATTTTATTCAATCCAAATAAGATATCTGGATGAAATAATGAAAAGCTAGTCATTTTTGAAGTTATTATCAAGATTTCAAACCTCCAAAGCGAAAGATGAATTATTATACAAAGGAACAGACTAATCTCCCTACGTCAAGGTGTATGATGCAATGAACCTTTTTTTGGCGGATATTATCTCTTCAACCATATGTTGCAAGCTAACTTCATTGTGAGTGCTTTAAACTAATGTGTTAACTTGAGTTTTGACTTTTGAATACAACTAGAATGGATATACATACCTGACAAACCTAAGGTATTTTCTGACTTCATGAATGAGTTTACCCTCATCCCATGCAGCTTCGAGACCATTGTACCCAATTCCAGAAAGTATCTCTCTTAAAATCTTCATCATGTCAGGCTTTTGAGAAACAGTGACAAAAGCTCGGCTCTCAAATATCCCCTCAAGATTGTGGTACACCTGGTTAGCAAGAGTTGTCTTGCCCAATCCTCCAGATCCAACAATGGGAACCACCTTCAATTGCTGTTCAGGGCCACTCACGCCCTCTGTTAGCCACCTGATGAGCTCAATTTTTGGCCCATCAATGCCTACAAGATCAGATGCATCTTTATACAGAGCAGGCAAGCGAGGGTCAACAGTCACCTTGCTAGGTTTGGAGATAGTATCATCAACCTTGTATCTCTTATGCCTCCTGCTAGCCTCCCCAACAAAGGCTCTTATGCCTCGCATCTCCTTGGCAATTTGGTAGTGATTCCTGATTGACGCGATCGATTTGACAATTTGACTTATGAAACTTGGGATGCCATGCAGCTCACATCCGGGCTCATCTTTGAGGTGGACCGCAAACTCGTCGATGTGGTCTTCTATATCATAGGACAGTTCCCGAACCTCCTTCCTCCAGCACTTCACCTGCTCATCAAGCTCATCCTCAACTTCAGACATCTTCTTTAGGAAAGCATGCATGCTCTCTAGCTCAGATTTCACGAAAACAATGTCTCGTTTCACTTCCTCAAGCAACTTGTATTCGAAGGTCAGCAAGTCGGTGAGCTTGCTGAGGACAGAGTCCATTGCACCAAAAGTAGCACTAGCCATGGCATGCTCAGGCAAGAGGCATACATGGAAGTGAAACAAGGTTAGGTTTGAGTAAAGAGGAAGTAGAGGAGGAAGACAGGAAATTCTAGGATGTTGCGCTATGGAAGAACTGTCAAAGTCAACTCATTACCTATCCTAGTCTAAAGACCACACCAAATGCTGATGGTTGTTTGTCTTCATAGAATGATCTCAACACCTACCATGTATGTACAACGTGGAAGTGAAGTGCACATAAAAGATAAAAATTACACTCTCCGTCCCAAAATATAACAACTTTTAGCCCTAAGGATTTGTCCCAAAATATAACAACTTCTCCATCAACATTATCTTCCCAACCAATTACAACCCTCTACCATTCACTTTTCCCACCTACCTCCACTACTCATCCAATCACAACCCTCCACCACTCATTTCTACCTACTTTCTTAATAACCGTGTCCAACTCTAAAACTTCTCGGACGGGGGGAGTACCAGGAATTGATCTATCACTCAAACAGTGCAACAACACACCCAATAAGAAAAAGGAATTGGTCTACACAACGCGTGGACTGATTTTGCTGAGATTGTTTTGGCAGGATGAAAAGGAGCTCTTCCCTCCACTGCTCTCCTGTGGCTAACAAGAAACCAGCGGAGAGGAAATATGATTTATTCCTCCACTACTTCTGCCAGTTGATCAATTTGGACCATCCACAATCCACATAATTTTGCTCTTTTAGTTGCCTAAGGATCATTTTAATTTTACCACTGACCTCCCTTAACTCGTCCACAAGTCACGCCATGAGGCACAACACAAGAACCCAACCGAAAATCACATGATTTATCTGCACCATTTGCTTCCAACTTTTGGAGTATTTTCCAACTTTAGCTTTATTATTATCAGTAACCCACTGATCAATCATGCACTGAAGTTTAAATCGATTTTGTTTCATGACAATGATTTCATCTCAATTGTCTTTACCACCGCTTTAGTCATTAGACAAGTCCACACAAGAGACAAGAAGCACACACATATATCACTTCAAATCGAAATGTGATTCAAGATTCATCAACATGATTGAAGGACAACGATGCCAAGTAACAATTATCATCGCGAAAACAGGCGATGCTTATTACTCAAACTTGCGTATATTGTATGATTGAAATTGTATCAGGAAACAAGTAGAAAGAAGAGGAAAGCAAAAGAAAGAACCGGTGGTTTCTTCTCTCTTTGCGCCCCCGTGTCTTCGAATTGGGGGGAGGGTGGTGGAGAAGTGGAAAGATTGTCAGCCGCCGCTGATGGGCGGGATGATGGCGAGCTCGTCGCCGTCCCCGACGGCGGCGTCCTCGGGCGCGTACTCCTCGTTGAGCGCGAGCACCATGGATCGCCGGATCTCCTCCAGCCTGGGGAAGGCGGCCAGCACCCGGGCGAGGCAGTCTCCCGCCGTGCTCCCTGCCGGCACCTCCACCGGGGCCTCCGTCACGCCCGTCAGGTCCCGCGCGCGGGCGAAGAAGAGCACCTTCACCTTCACCTTCGCCTTCGCCGCCGCCGCCGTGGGGTTGTCGGCGGAAGCAGCAGCAGCGGCAGCGTGATTGGCTTTGGGATCCAGCGCCATCGCCGGAGGAGGAGGAAGCGGCGGATGCCGATCTGCTCCGCTGCTGCAGATGCTGCTGCGGTCAATGGGATTGCGAGAAATTTATCGGTGAAACTGCGGGGATATGAGATTCTTTGAGAAGAAGGATGAACAGCAAGCGTGGTCGTGCCGGAGTGGTTATCGGGCATGACTAGAAATCATGTGGGCTTTGCCCGCGCAGGTTCGAATCCTGCCGACCACGTTTTTTTGAAAAAAGAATTGCATATTTTTTTTGGTTTTTCTTCAATTTTGCACAACATTTTTGTTTATACTACTCCCTCCATCCCATAATATTAGAGATTTTGAGTTTTTATTTACATTGTTTGACCACTTATCTTATTCAAAAAATTTGTGCAAATATAAAAAACGAAAATTTGTGCTTAAAATACTTTAGATAATAAAGTAAGTCAAAAAAAATAAATAATAAATCTAAAATTTTTTTGAACAAGACGAGTGGTCAAACAGTGTAAAGCAAGAACTCAAAATTCCTTATATCATGGGACAGAGCTCAAAATTCCTTATATCATAGGACATAGGGAGTAGTATTTATAAGACGCTTCACATTCAAATTTCATTTCAGTTTGCACAGCATTTTTCACTTCGTACTTTAGTAAGAAACAAAGATGCTTCACATTTCATTTCAAACCTGCTCCTGAGCTCCTTTGACATCGGCCCACCACAAATTAAACAGAGCCCAATTTCCGCAAACATTAATTAAGCCCAACAAGAGCCATCGAAAAGAAGCCCATTAATTACACTTTAATGGCTGCTTGTGATTTTGGCCCGTACCTGCTGGTAATTTTATCCCGTGGTAGCTCATAAATTTTTGCCCATTGGCATTGACAATCTCCGTACTCCGTTCGTAGTTGCTGATAAATTTGGCCTGTAAGAGTGATAATTTCGGACCATATTTGCCGGTAACTTCGATCGGTAGTTGCTACTCCCTCCATCCATAATGAAAGGGATTTTGAGTTTTTACTTGTACTATTTGACCACTAGTCTTATTTAAAAAAATTTTGAATTATTATTTATTTTTTTTAACTTACTTTATTATCCAAAGTACTTTAAGCACAACTTTTTGTTTTTTTATATTTGCGCAAATTTTTTTAATAAGACGAGTGGTCAAACAATACAAACAAAAACTCAAAATCCCTTATATTATGGGACGGAGGGAGTTCTTGCTAGTGCAAAAGTCCAGAGTTGATATCCTTAGACCACAAAATGGGTATAACACATACCTATCTTTCAAAACTGGTGCAAGCATAGCCCCCAAAAGTGTATTTATGATGGTTTCAGCTGACGTCATGCCAGAGGCAAAAATAAAAACTCACATAAGATGCACGTGTCAGTGAAACATCTTCTCTCTTCTTTATCCCATATCCCCCTCCCGCAACCTACAACCTCAGCGTCGCACTAGTGAGCGCGGAGGTCGAGCACGCTCCAAAGGCACACCGATGACCGCAGCGTCCTCCACATCCTACACGTCATCAGCAGGATCAATTAGAGTTCGGGGGAGGGTCACTCGAGACCTCAATTTAGGATCCAATTTCGAGAGGCAAAGTGCGGTGGTGGTAGCTCCGATTTGCGCATGGTGGTGGATCGTGGGGGTGGATGGATCGATCCGGCTCGCTCAAGTTCAAGCCCGGATTTGCTGCTATGGGACGTAAACTAAACTAAACTTTTTCATTGCTAGTAACTACAGCCCACAGGTTCTGTGTTTTTTTTCTCTTTGCAAGAAGGTTATGGTAATTTTGGTTAGGGCTGTCAAAAAAGCTCAAGGCTCGCAAGCTGCTCGAGCTCGGCTCGAACTCCTAGCGAGCCAAACCCGAGCCTAGCTGCAAGCTTGCGAGCTTTGTCGAGCCGAGCTCAAACTTCTCACGAGCTTAACTGTGTGTGTAACTTTTTTTCTTTTATATATGATAAGTACTAGCTCAAGGATAAATTAGTATCTATTCATGTGAAAAATTAGTGTATTTTGGCGTTCTCATGATCTTTTTCTTCAATATTGTTAATTAGCACATTATTTTTGCTAAAAACAGGACAGATTTAATTATCACATTATTCTAAAAAAGGACAGATTGAATTAGCACGTATGTTAATACCAAAGACAATGCTATTAAATTTATCTTATATCAGTTGTTTATTTTTTTTTTCACTAACTAGCTAAGCCCAACAGCTATATAAAACTCAGCCTTACTCTGATTGAATATTAGTAAATACCACATGCCCAGCCATTTGATTTGACCATCTTAGTGCGCGTGTTACACACATCACTATCTAGGTGGCATCCATTAATTAATTGATAAGATTCAATTCTTGGATCACCATCTAACTACCTCAGCTCGCGTGATTCATAACAAGTGTGCGCGAGGGTCGTAGGTGGCAACAACCAGTACCAAATTCTTTCTTTTGGTTCAAAAGAAAAAGCAATACGGGATCATATGCATAATTAGAATCTCGAATTGAAGAATTAACGCCTAATTAACAAGTTGCTTATACCAATACAGTTGTGGAAAAGGAATTAATAACTTATCAGTTAAATTTTAAATTTCAACATTAAATTTGGAGTTGATTTTAGAGTTGTTTTTATCACAGTTTATTTTCCAGCTTTTACTTTTACATAGCTAAGAACATATATATAAAAATTTTATTCACAAATTACTTTTTTTTTTCAAATACGTTGTTCGGCTTATTCCACGAAGGAGCCAAACAATAGGGCCGATAGTCTTGGCACTATCAGTGCTGTCCATTTGGATCATTTGAGCCACATGATTATTCCTGTACATGTATATACTATGGGCATGTTCACTTTAATGTCATTTTTAATCTTATCAAATTTTAGTAAAGTTACTAAAAAAATAGCTACATTTAGTTTGCTGCCAAATTTTGATAACTATATAAGAAATATTGCCAAAATTTTAGCAATTAGACAACTATGCCAAAATTTGGTATTGTTAAAATTTGGTAAGGTTTTTTTTTGGCATAAAAGTGAATAGGCCCTATGTCCATGTAATATCCAGGAGAAGTACAACCTAGTAAAGACGACGTCTGCTTACTAGCCTATCCAGCCATAGCGCAAAATTTCGAAATTTAATTTTGAAATGCATTTTATTTTTTTTATTATAATCTATTTCTCAGCATTGAATTTTAAACTACCAATAACATAGATATAAAAAAATATTTATAAAATATTGTTTGTTTATTTATTTTCCTGTGACTTATCAGCCGTAGCTCAAACGACCATAACCATCGACGCATTCGTGGATGTTTACATAGCACGTCCTCTATAAACCCGGAAGAGAAAAATTAATCATGGCATGAGCAAGACAAACCAATCCAAGAAATCAATCAATCACGCAACTGCATCATGATATATAGTAGTAATAATAGTATACTTTTTTTTTTGCGAGGAGTAATAATAGTATACTGATGATGGGCAATGAGTGTGGCAAGTCCAAAGCGATGGAGTGAAGCTACGTTCTACAGACGATCGATGGCTTCTGTCACTCTTCTTTATTGAGTTATTACTGTTCCTCTCCTCCATCTTGTATGCATTTTCTTCAGAAACTTCTCTCCCCCATCATCCACAACTTGCTGTCCTTGTCTTCTTTTTCTTTTTTTTTTTCCCTCCTGCTCTCATCTCAGCCTCTCACTTGAACTGCAGATATATATAAGCACCCAGACATAAAGCAATAGTTTGAGAGAGAGATTTAGAGTTTCAGAGTTTCAGAGAGGCAGTAGAAGAGAAAGGAGGATCATCATCTTGATCTGAATCTCGGGAAGTTTTTACTGTGGCCTGATGATCTGAGTTCAACCAAGGCTCGAATTTTGTAAGGTAAGAACACAATCATCATCCCTGCAAATCTGTAATACAATTGGATACCTGCAAGCAGAAAGCTTACATATATCAAATATACTCTTCTTCCTCACTGTTTCAGGCTTCCGATCCCCTGAAACCATATTACCAATTCCCCAAGCATTGCAGCAGCTTGTTTAATTTGCTGCAAATTTATGCTTCTGGGTTTTTTTTTTTAGTTTGTTTTGATCGCACTTGTTTTGTTATTTGTTTCTTTTTCGACAACAGAAATTAATCAATCCAGCCTTTTCGATCGCCAAGGTGTATTCGGCCAATCAATTAAGTCATAATTTTTGTGCTCAAAGCTCAATTATTTTCGTCTAACCATTCTTGCATTAGCTAGCGTGTTTTTGGACGCCCTTTTCTCATTCCTAGTGTAACACTTATATAATATGTATAGATTAATGTAATGATATTCAACTCTCTTACGTATTCGGAAAAAAAAAACCTAATTGTGGTTTAGATTAGAATTTACCTAGAGTATGTTAATCTCCTTGCACGATGGCAATCTCGGTTTGGATGATTGGATCACCGATTATTGGGGGTGGAATAGTGAAGCCAAGCTGGATCCAACGTGTCTGCACGCCATTGGCTGCGGCCCATCTCTCAGTCAGTGGGCCCACTTCCTTTCGTCATCAAGAAGAATGGACTGGTGGTCGATCCTACGCATACCAAACCTTCCTTACCAAAACTGGTTGAGAGGTACTCTGATCCTACCTCGTATCTCAAGGGGCTACATAATAAATGTGCTATGGTTAACTTACAAAGCTCAACAATACATTTTCAGAAACAACTCGGTATATTAGTTCAAATTCAAACATGTTCCTTTTATTTATAGTTCTAATAATTACACCTAACCTAAAACATAAAACTAGTCTAGCGATTCATGATGATCAGTGACCCAATTTGCCGAACTATGATAGCTTATGTGGTAGACTAGGACATCTCTACCTACTTTTTTTTTCATGAACCCGTTGGTTTGATAAATTCTTTGAAATCCCCTTACGACCACACACACACGATGCAATAACACCCATCAACCCATTTGGCAAAGTGAAAATGGTCACATACATCATCCATTATCATTTGTTTCAATGTGAAAAAGAAACATAGGAGAAGAAAATTCTCTAATTAAATTGACACTTCAAAAATCCAATACAGAAAAATATTAATACACACATTTTTCGTGGTTGGTATATGACCAAAATAACCCAAGAAATCTTGACAACCCATCTTGTTTCAAATTAGT